TTCTGAATTTTATCTTCACGACAAACTTTTCTGAACAGATAAAAGCCTGCAAACCTACAACCAGACTTCTCAAATAAAGTCTCGTTCAAACATATTTTATTTCCAACAAAAAAAAAATAAAAATAAATCACTTTGGGCAAAAAATATTAATTAGATCATTGTTTTAGGAAGGTGATGATATCAAAAACTGAAGAAACCTTTCATTCAAAAGCATAAGTCCTTACTTGTAAAGGTGTTTATCATTTATTGATTCATAAACATATACTGTCAACAGGCCTATGGGTGTGATCTGAATTCATCCACAACACACTCATCGACACACACACACAACCAAGGCTTGTACATTCGCACCAACAGTTGTGGTCAAAGCAGGACGTTATTTATTGTTGTTGTTGGCACAAAGAGCACATACCCACACAAATCATTGCTGATTTCCGTTCACCTTCCACTCTCGATTACATGCACACAAACTTCAACGGCTGCATGCACACACACGCTTCTCCAAAAAATATATATGTGCGTACTAAAAGGTTTGCACAATAATAAGGACCTGCAACAAGCGGTAGTCATCCAAAAGATGACTACTGTCATCCTGAAGGCTCTTGGTTCAAAAGAACTAAGAGCCTTAAAAGTCCTTTTAGAGCAATTAGAGAGTCTAATACTGTACCCAAGTAAGATGCCACTACTGTTTCAACCACAGTGAGATGAAATGTTGTCATCTTTTCCTGTTTTTGACAACCATTTTCACAAAGACAAATTAATGACTTTTTTTAAAACCAGCATTTCCAGTAATGAAAGATGCTGCAATATTGTGATAACATAATGAGAGCTGCATAGTAACACACTGACTGCATCACTTTACACTTCATGGAGAATGTGCACACATAAAACCCAAGTGAACTTTGCAATGAATATTTACCCACATGTAAGCTAATTCAAATATTTATATGCTCACAAAGCACCAAGGGGGCAGACATAAAAAAAAATACAGAAAACTTAAACAAGAACACACCTCACACAAATCCTCCCTCAAACACGCACACACTCAATGTTCTGATAACGCTCTCCACTAAAAATCCAGGGAACCAATTACGGCTCCACGTTCCTCACAGCCCAGCTCTCAGTTTTAACTCCTTGCCACCAGAGAGTGAAGACGGACTAGCTTCTCTTTTAAGAAAAAGTCAACCTTAGGTTGCTCAAGTCAGCAACATGTGAGCAACATCTGCAGTTCTGAAAGCACACTGGTGACGTCCTGAAAACATGCTTTGGACCTACCAGAACCAGATTAGTTTCAGATTTTGGCAGAGTAACTGGCTTGTCAGTTCAGTTATACTTCTATTTAAGACGGATAAAGAAATAGAAGATTCACAATGTGTTGCGACACCTTACAAGGGCTGTGTGATCTTTTGAAAAAACAAGTAATTGAAATGTTATTGTTGAATATTGCCATGACAATAACAACCAAGACTAACATGAATTCTCCTGACTGTCATCATAAACTTCCCCACCATATCTATGAGCTTTACAATTTCAGCCACTATAAATGTACATATGTTGTTTATCAAGGGAAACCACAGACCATCCAACTGGTCAAACATATTCCTGGCATGCAGAGTGTGAATGCATCACACTTGAAATATGATAGCCAACCGAATACTGTATCAAAGCAGTCAAACACTGTTAAGAGTTTGAAAGGTTTCAACTGAATATATTGTGCAGCTATGCCTCTTGCCTATTCCACAGCCAACATGATGATCTGGACTCAGTGCTCCCATGTGGAGTGCATGTAGTAGTTTGTCACAGAATGAGGCTTGTAAAGATGCATTCAGCTTTCAAAATGAGAAGACCATGACAAGAGGCTAAAAGAATTTTATTTATTTTTTTAGACAATTAAGAAACCTTTGGGTATTTTTTTGTTGTTGTTGTTTTTTACAGATAAAGACATAATACATTTTAAACTGTGATTAGATCTTGTAGAAAAAATAGCACAACCTGGGCATCCACCTGCTCAAACATAGCTTCCAGGTGTGATTAAATCATTGACCATCATATTGTCGCCTCTAAATAATAACTTATTTAGCCACAATAAGTTATTTACCAGAGTCACAAGTTAGTAATAACTGTCAACAGAGGATGTTGACAAGTAGCAATAATTTCAACATTAGAGCTTAAATTTGTTCAAGAATTATGTTATTTTATAGAAGTTATTTACTCCATAATGCAAACTTATTTAACATACCAAAAAGTCTCCTAATCCAGTGAATACCATTAAGTGCTGTGAGCTCTAATGTGTCAATACGTGAATACAGTGGTATTATGAGGATTTAAATAATTTTAGTGAGTTATGGAGTTGCTCTTTTGGTTTTTGGTTGACTTAAGGAATGAAAAACACCATTAGAGGGAAACTGTAAAAAAAAAAAACACAAAGAGTTATAAAATGTGCTTCTTAATGGAATCCTGGGAGGTCAAGTTCAGTGTTTGCATGTAACCATCTAATTGTCCAAGACCATAATTGGACAGAGACAGAACAAAATAACAGAGAGCTCAGAAAATTAGAAGGCAAGAGAAACATCAGTACCATAATTATAAAGTGACTTAAATTGATAATTTACTGCATTTATACTTGTGTATAGCAATTTATATGAAAAAAATGAAACAACACAAAATGTTCTATACCTCTTTACATCTCTCTGCAGGTTATAATTCATGGAAACACAAGAAAAAAAAGGGGCATACTGGCCAAGGACAACTGCAGAAAAAGTTGGGAGAAAAAAAACCCAATGAAGAAATACAAAATAGGGACAGAAAGAGAGAGATGGGGGTCTATTGATCTGTTGGAGTTGGCTCGGTCTGAGACTGAACTTTATCAGAAACGCAGAGCATCTCCGCAGGAAGCTCTCTGATACCCCTCTAAAGGGGAGAACAGAGGGATGTTCACACACGTTTCTTCATTCATTTTCATTTCACTTTCCACCTCCAGCAGTGCTTTCTGAAGGAACTCTTTCCGTCTTCTCTTTTTTTTTTTAGCCCTTTTCTTGGCTCTTATGCATTTTGCTTTCTTGCTTTGTTTTCCACCTCTCCTAGTTTTCCTGCAACTTTTCCAGCAGCTGGCTTATTAGCATTCTCTCTGTACATATAATTGATTCCTCATGCCGTCCTCTAGTGAAAATGTCATTCATAATTCTATGTGATAGCTGGCTGGCTGGCTTATTGGTTTGCTGTTTGGCTGGCTGGCTGTGAGGCAAAGTGGCCAGTGACCCATTTGTAGCAGATACAAAGAGACTGACAACCAAATCTGATTATAGCAGCAAGATCAAGATTTTTGTAAAACAACTGGCCTGCGCTAGACTCATTCTAAGCCGTAACTCATCTTCTGTGACTTTTTGACTTTCTAACCTATATTTTTCCATAGCATTAAGGTCTTTATGTTGTTAGAGTCCAATGCAACAAACAGCATCAGGAACGCAGCAGGTATCTACAGTAAAACACAAGGGAAGTGCAGGAACGCTCGTCTTAAGGGGCAGTCCTAATGGAGGCTGCAAAAGACCCAAAACAGAGGTGGAGGTTCACCTTCCAGCAAGATCATATTCCCAAACTTACAGCCGGAGCTGCAGTCAGATGGTTCAGATGAAGTCATAGTCAAGCATTAGAACAGCCCAGTCCAAGTTTACACCTAAAATCAACAGAATATGTGGCAAGACATAAAAACTGATATTCAGATTTGCCCTGCCAATCTAACTGGGCTTGATTTTGAGCAATTCCAGCCTGCAGACGTGAAGTACAGACATACCCCAAGAGATTTCTGGTTTTAATTGCAGAGAAAGGTGGTCCTACAAAGTACTAACCCAAAGAGCTGAATACAAATGCATGCAAGATTTCTCTGAATTTTATCAGTGAAAAAAAATGTAAAACCATAAATCATTTACATTCCACTACATAATTAAATGCTAGAAGTTCAAGAGGGAACAGCACTTTTGCAAACCCTGCATATTCAACATCACCTAAAAATAACTACAGCTGTACAATTTTAGGAAAATATCCAATAGCACGATTGGGATAATGGTATCAATTCAAAGGAAATAAAACTGCCCTCAATTTAATGATGTTTCCCCTCATTTTCATCCCTTTCCCACTGTTTTCCGTGAGATTAACCAATTTGGCCTCTGAAAACTATATCAGGGTTTGCGTGTCAAGGGCAGTGAAAGTCCATCCAATGGAACAAATATAACATTGGCTCGTAGAGCATTTGTGCATGTCACTGGAAATGTAATAGCCTCCCAAATATCCAATTGTGATATTGCACACATTGCTATTAGGACGACTGCAGTAAGGAAATGTTTTGCAACTCAAAAGACAATGAAAATCAACTGATGAAACACTGCTGGTCGGTTCCTCCACACATGCACATATACATCACTGCAGCCAGATGTACTGTGACACACATCTCCACAAACACACACTTCCAGGCTGAAACACACGCAGAGATGAATAAACAATAATTAGCGCGTGGCTAGAAAACACGCAACCCGAGAAGAGCAGGTTTAGTTGTGTACCACCTTCGCAGCCAATCAACAACAGGATCCCAGAGAGACCTGGTTGTAGCTGACAGAGAGGGAGGTGTCATGAATGTGTGGGTGGGTGGGTGTGTGCGTGCGTGAGTGTGTGTGTGCATATCGGGGAAACTCTCAGCCCAAACACCCGATGTCTCTCTCCTCATGTTTCAGTGCAGTCAATTTAACTACACAAGCGAGTCAGGCTGAAACAAACAGAAGGACTGAGAGATGCAGACATGGTGAGGTCAATAATCCGAAAGCAGGAGGAAAACCCAGCAAGGAAGTTTTAACCAGAAAGTGATTTTAGTGTGGAAGCATAAAAATCCAAGAGGGACAGTGGTAATAAAGCGAATTTGACAAATTAAAAGCCACAGACAGATTGGAGCTGAGAAAGACACTCACAAAAAGTGGAGCAGACAGGAAATAGAGACATGAGGGTGAACTTACCGGATGCCTGCCCTGAGGGTACATGATCCCAGGAGAGGAGAGGCTTCCAGTCCGTTTGATGGCCAGGTTACTCCCCTGGCCCTCCAGTCCTCTGCCCTCCACCTGGTTACACCAACCCACTCGCAGTCACACACAAACCCAGACTCTCAAACACTCAGGGAGGACTGTCTCTGCTCCTTCGCTGGGTTATCTCGTCCTTGTTGCTCTCTGTCCTTATCTTCTAACGCAAATTCCCACTGACACTCAGCAGAAGAACCCTCGCTCCGTCGGCTCGTTCATCCAACGGGGTCATGATAAAACGGAGCGCCAGACTTTGCCTCCTTCTTCCTCCTTCGCCTTCCCCTCGTGAAACCCAAGTCACAGTTTCTCCTCCTCTTCCTCTCCTCCTCGTCTGCCTTACAGTGTCTGTCCCCCTTTTCTCTCAGCTTGTGATCAGGTCCACACGCTCTGACATGAGAGAGAGAATTCAGTCTATGCAAGCTCTTCTCTTATACTTCTCCTCCCCTTCCCTCTCTTCTTGTGGCTTGTCCTTGTGCCCTTTCACCCAGCAGTCCAATGGCAAAACATACAAACATAAACACTCAGCTGAACCAAATAGTCCCCTTCTCTTATTTTTCCCTCCTCTTCACCCTGTCTCTCTGACACACTAAAGCCTTGACTGCTGCAGCAGAAATAAGGAGAGGAAGGAGGAGGAGGAGGAGGAGGTTTGGGGTAGGGAGGAGAGAGTGAGAGCTTTGTTTTTAATCTAAATGTGGAAAAAAAAAAAAAAAACGCAAGAGGAAAGCAGGAAAGAACAGCAGGTCAGTGGAGGATCCAGCGGGCTTTTCAGCAGCAAGCCCTAGACTGTAATATATTGTGCCTGTTGGCTTCAACACAAACAGGACAGGCTGCTAAAGCTTCTCTTAAGGTGGAACTGAGTAGATAGAGCCACACAGTCGCACACACACACACACACACAGAGAGAGAGAGAGAGAGAGCGATAGGATGGAGAGAGAGAGAGGAGGCGAGAGATGGATTCATTTTCAATTGTGGTCAGATACACAAAGCAATCAGTCAAGCACAAAGACTGGGGCTCAAACAGATATGGATCGAGATGCAAACACACAAATGCTCAGACGTGCATATGCAAATTCATGACAGCAAAGGAAGCGCACGCATACACACACACACAAACAGACACACATATACAACAGCCAGTCAGAGTGATAAGTTTATTAGTCAGTTCACAACTTGCAAGAACATTTGTGCGAGATGATCGGATAGTAATCCAGTCATGCTTAATTGCACAGTAATCCAGCCAAAACTCGTTCAGGTTGCACCAAAGACTGCTGGTGAAATGATCTCTCAAATCTGATCTCCATCGGATTACACGGATCTTTTAAACTTTGTCACATTGAGTCGCACCAGACTTTAACTGGGATTTTATGAAGAGCGCCAGCAAAGACGGCCACACAACTGACAAGTTTTAGAAAATTAAAAAGCGTTTTGTTTTAGTGTTTTGTTAACGATCCGACTATGCAAGCTGAGGTGTGTACTTGTGTCCAGCCCCCAAGTTACCCATTTATTAAACACTGAAATATTAAGCTCACAAGCCAGACAAGGAGAGCATAATAAACCAGAGAAGAAGCCAATGTGGACACTGAAGGAACAGCGGATAATTCAGAGGCCAGATAATCTGCTGACACAACCACAACCAGTGATCCACCTGTACAATAAGTCATACAGGATATGCAGCAATTGTGTAGATGAAATTCCAATCATCATTTAGAGTAAAATTAAATTTTCTGGCTCGTGGTCAAAACTACATATGTGGCAGAAAAATAGCTTCTTGAAATACCAACCCTACATGGAAACAGAGGCAGCATCATATTTTCTTCAGGATTAACATTCAGGGAATTAGTTATTTTATTTCTTCTGGCTTCCACCCTCTATTAACCAGTATTCATACCAGCGGAAGTGAGAAAAGCTAATATTGTTCACCAACCAAGACTTGTCCAAGTCTCAAACTGACAGCAACAACTCAAACAAAAAAAATTATCAATTTTATCTGTTTTTATGACAGCTGCCATTTAATCCTTAGACTTGCAATGACAAATTATCCGACACAACCAGATCCAACATGGAGTAAGACAATTTATAATTTTGTTAATTTTTATCGCTCTTATGCTAAATATGGTGCTACTGCCAGCCAGAAAAAACTCAATTGTCGTGTTTCAGCATGAATACCATCATTCCGGATGGTATAATTTTTATGATATTAAGGTCACCTCATAATTAAGCATGCGTCATGTGCACAGCTTGCTTCAACACACCCAAATCAAGCAGCACAAAGAAACATACTTCAATACAATCCATGTTCTAAATATCAATGGTTTCAGATCTACTTTGTAAATACTTCCAGGAAAAAAAAAAAAGTTAATTTTCAGTTGAACAAAACCTTTCAAACTGGAATGAATTCACTGAGAAAAAAAACCTTTTCAAGCTGTTTTTTTTTTATTATTATTATTATTATGTCAAACTCATTTTAACGTCCATCAGGTTAATGTGCCACCAACAGTCATTTTAACAAAGGAATGCTATTAAAAATGTGGATAGAGATATGACTTTTAGGTCCAAGCATTGTGAGGGGATATTTGTCATCACTATAAGTGCTGCAATGGAGGAATGTCTGTTTACTGCCAGGGATGTAATCAGAATCAGTAGGTCGAGTATCTCAAGGATTACTGCTGTAACACTCCAGAAATATCTCCGCCACAGCAGGATAAAAATGTCTGCCTGCCTACTTCTGAGTGCTGGATCTGAAGCAAATGTTATTTACAGGAGCTCCCAGAATGGACCTGAACCTACTCAGACCTGATATTTAAAGACTTTCCTCGTACACAACACCGGGCTGTCCCAGACATCTTTTGGCACTGGTTATAATCAGTTTATCCAGGGCAGCGCTGCCTTTGAACTTGATCAGACAGCCATTAATCCGACACCGTAGACTCGGGCGCAGTCGGTCCTGGCATCCGTGGAGGATTTCCAGTAAGACAGAAACTGCATTTGATAACTAGAGGGTGAGGCAAAGGACAGGTCCAAAGCCTCAATTAGGGACACATACAGACATCCTATTATACCCAACACAACAGTTCCTTTTGGGAGAGCCTAATGCCTTTTTTTTTATCCAAATCCCCCCTGAAAGTCACTGTCAAATTTGCTCTGTTATTTCTGATATTAGGCTTATGTGTGTAAAAGTGTTTGTATTCTGCACATATTTTGAGTAAGATGGTAATTATTGCAGCACATTGCTTTGATATTCAAAATCAAACTTTAAAAGCAGCTTGTTTATGGGGTGTTTTGATAGTTTGAGGACAGGTTTTGAGAAAAAGAAATGCTATTTTTTTTTTTTTTACTGAAATTAGTTCCCATGCTATTTCTTTAAGCTGGTTTGAAATAATTAGAAATTTCACTTTCAGAAAGAAAACTCTTTTAAAACAAGAAATGTATTTGGAAATGGAAACAACCCTAACAAAGAAAGCTGTGATCCGTAGAAAATATTGGGAAGGCATTCAGATTCAATTGTCCCAAAATTGCTTCAAACTGCTTCCAGTGTTAATGCAGTGAAAAAGTCTGTCCATGGATATATGACACAAGCCAAGGATTGTAATGGACGTACTGTGCTTTTCTCTAGTGATCAAAGTGTGGATGACATGTTTTTGCTTTTCCAGACATTAACCGTATCTGAAACTGTATTCAAAATATGCATCTGAAGGTGTTATTTAGAAACATCATCATCAATAAAAGAATCCACTCCTGACTGGACAATATGTTCAATTTTGCCCAAATGTCATTCATTTATAATCACACCTACATTGATTGTAAAGCTAATGAGCTTCAGTTAAATTAAAAAAATATTCGACCTCACTCAACGTCTGCTCAACAGCCAAAACAAAATCAATTCGGCGATCAAAGGGCCAATCAGCAGTGAAGTAAATGAACAGTATCCAATGAATTTGGGACAAAAGCAAACTTGAATAAGCAAGACTGCTTTGCGTATGCCGTCATCAACCATCAACACACCTAAAATCCATTTGAAGCTGTTATTACGGGACACTAAAGGCATAACAGCTTATTTTAGATTTAGCAGGAAGCTCACAGGTTGAAACTAACAACACAGATTGTGGTCTCAAGAATCTTAAGAATCCACTTCCCAAAGCTGCTCTATTTGAAAAAGGAACCCTCTGACTCTAAATTTCACCTCGTTATGACAAATCACAGTTATGTGTCTTAACACTTGTTTTCTGCTGCATTACGGAAGACGATAAAGCCGTTAGATATTCTGTGTCTATTACCAGTTTACAGCGAAACATTATGCCTGGCTATTTAATTAAAATGCCAAGAAACAAAAACACCCACACAGTCTGTAAGCATAAAAGAGCAAACACCTTCACTCTCATTCATCACAGGCGAGGGGACACACTGCTGACCAAGGAGTCCCTTCTGGTCACTATAGCCATCTTCTCTTGCTGTTTACATGTCAGAAGATGGAGCAGTAGTTGCTCCCCTCCAGAACCAACATCAGAACAAAGTTACACTAATTGTCAAAAACAGGGAAACATAATTGTGCTTTAATGTTAATTTTATACTAAAATACTAAGATATTTCAAATCAAATTAAACTTCTATCCCTGTCTAGAATATTGTAAGCTTTGCACAATATGTGCTTTGGCGTAAGCAAAATAACACATAGAGGTTGAAGTTTTGAAGTAGGTGTTTGGTTTTAGAATAAATTGGACTAGTTGGACTAATGAAAAGTGGTGATAAAACTGGCTGACAAAATTTTGTCAAACAAGCATTGAAGAACCCATTAAAAGGAATCGTCTGGTAGCATTTTGGGTGACTTGTAACTTCTTGTTTTAACCGAATCTAAATTTTGAATCATTCAAATCAGATTTATGACAAATGTTGTATATTCTCTGTGCAAGAATAAATTTTTAAAAAATTGTGTTCCCAAATGCAGTGACAGGTTTTCACTGGAAATGAAACACAGAATGAAAGAGCAGCCAAGGTAAAAATCTCATACAGCAAACATCAACCCTCTCTCCAAAATCTACATGCGTAAAGAACCCTTCCATCCTAATTACTCACACACTAAACAAGCATCCTCTTTTATAATTCCTGCTGGAGGTCAGACATTGAAAAGACTCAGAAGATTGAACTTCAAAAAGAAATTCAAAACCGGCCAGCATTCAAACCAAGAAACGTCGTGCTGGGAGGCAACAGTGAATGCAAATGAAACATTATAAACCACTTGGCAGATTGCCACTAAATGTAGTGAGGAAATTTTCTACCTCCCGATGATGAATTACAGCCACCCTTTCTTTATACTTTCTCCTTTGTCTTCCCTTTGAGTGGGTCCAAGATATTTAAAATAAAGACAGCCATTCAACGAGGCTCCAAAACCAGAAACATCACAACCATTCCCCATGTAGCTCTTTGCACTAATCAGTATTATCTAATTGTCTAGAATGGATTATGCAGGTAATTATTCCCCCGACTCTTTACACCGGGTTTCAGAGAGGCAGATGGGCAGGCATACAGACTCATGCTGATCCATCAGCACAGTTGTGATAAGACCCAGGTTCAAAGCCAGGATTTAGATTTCCTAAAAAAAATCACCAATAATGCTGCACCACTCTTGAACATGAATCCATGGCAATGTAGATTGGATCATTGAGCTATGGTTGATAATATGAACATGCAAGCAGAGACAAGGTGGAAGGTAACACTGCCAGATCTACTGAGTTAAAAAAAAAAAGCATAATTTCATATATAAATAGG